AAATTTTGCAATAATCTTGCGCCACCCTTGCACAAAACGACGATAATTTTTCTAATTTCATAAACAACAGAAGACTGTATTTTTTCTACATAACCGCCCCCCTGAGCACGACACTGGTTGAGGCGCACAAAACGGTTTTTTCGACTCTAATTGCTGTTTATTAGTCTCAACCAGTGTTTATATCCAACTCCGTCGGGAGCATCAAATTAAATGAGGATTCATCAACTGTGGGTGCTCAAGATGCAATAACACAAGCATTCCATGGCAAATTAACCGAATTATCTCGCAACTTCGTGATTAAACGCGCTGGATTAGTAAAGCGTGTTACCTATTGGGAGCTAAAGCAACCTGATCTATCTCTAAGAGAATGGAAAGCACAGAACAGAGGGAGGAACGTGTCAGAGGCGCACACAAAACAACAGCAGGCAATGCGCCAGTGGAGTGCGGGGAAGATGGAGAGTCTGGCTCCGCTACCACTTACGTTCTCCTGTTTTCCGGTATCGGGCACGTGCAGGCTCTCTATACAGATCACAAAGTTTTCCTTCATGTAACCAGGGTTCTGATAGTACCGGCACCGCGTTAAGGTTAAATACAGAGGCCACCAACACCGTAACCGGGCATGATGGGCGATACATAGAAAGAGAGAAACCAAAATGAAACTTGGGCGTTTTCAGTACTTACGTTCTCTTGCAGTCCCATGTCGGGCGCATGCAACGTCTCTATCACTAACTTAAATTTCTCTTTCATATAACCTGGATTCTGAAAATTAAACCAGATTGAATAAAAGTAAGTAATAAAATAAAAAACACTCGGTCGGCTGAGAACCGGAATGCACAAACCAACGTTTCTTGGTACACGGAAAAACGCGCCAATATAGCAAAACACTCCAAATATTAATTGGAGATAAATCATGACAAATGTGTACTTAATCACAAATTACCGGAAGATGTGCGATACCTTCCATAATCAAAATTGAGATAAATGGCGCATTATCTGCGGCTGATTAATAGACGATAAATTAATTAACTAAAGACTTTGGATATTGCTCCATTGCTCGCCACGTCTGTGCATTCCAGCTCTGGGAAAAATCCAGCAACCAAACCGTCCACCAGGCGGATGATACAGGGTTATTCACGCTATACGGCACGAAAGTTTGCGGCTAAACCGTTTGATTTTTGCAAAGTATTATTTTATAAATTGTCCAGGCTTGCCGAGCGCACATTTAAAAAATATTTTTGTAATGTACAGGGTGTCCCAAAAGCTCTAAAGGTATCAAAGTTGCGTTTTTTTAAATCGAATGTCCTGTATATTATTGCATTTTTGGATTTGCTGCATATTTTATATCCCAATGATAATAAACTTACCATGTTACACAGGGTGTCCACAAATTTAAACTAATCAAATAAGAACTTTAAGTGGCTCTAACTTGATTAATTTAAATACAACCCCATATTTT